TCAATCATTCATTTAGCAAATATTTATCATAACTTATTAGTACAAAGTTTGGTGAATAAAATGGATAAGGTCCAATCTTTGTTAGGTCACATAGTCTAGTGAAGGAGAAAGTCAGTGATTAAATAACACAAAAAAAATACATGATGAGCTATGGGCTATGATCATTATATGAAGCTATCAGTAGTTAAGAGTGTGTATTACATGGGAATAATTACAAGTTGGGATAAGAAGAAACATGTAGATGGGCCTCCCTGGTGGTGCCAGGGGTTAAAGCGTAGCACTATGAGCGATCCACAGCCACACATGAATTTGATCCTTGGCCAGCTGGCCCACATGGCACAGCAGACCTCTCCTGTCTGGTCTTCTGCTCCCTTCAGCAGTGCAGTAGATCTGCCTGTTCTGCTCCCCACTCTATCTCTGATGAACCTTCTCACCCCCCCACACACACACCTCTGGTCTATACCCCAGTTCTTGTATGCATAAATCATTTTTTTTTTTTAAGAAGAAGCAGGTAGAAACATTACATTAAAATAGGAATTGTGGTGGGAGGAATTTCAAGCAGAATGAGCTAGTGCCTGGAAGGAGGCATTTAGGGAAGGTCAGAATGGCTTCATTCTAGAGTCTTCCAGGGACTGTGTGGCCCAGAAACACGAGAAGGCTAGGCTTCCCCTCTTCTTGTGATGGTCAGGGCATAAACTCCATAACATTTTTTTCATGCTTTCCCAAAGAAAACTAAAGAACTGGCTGTATTCCACTGCATTGAAACCCCATGTTTAATGGATAAAAACAAACTACTAACACTCCCCATCACCAGAGTAGCTGGAGATATCCTTTGAAAGCCCTTTCTCTCAGAAGCTACATGAAAAGTACAAGATGTTACCAAATAAAAATTGTTTAATCTTGAAGTGAAGCTAAGATCTCCCTACCCCTCTGCAATTTAAATCAGGTCTCAGTCCTTGAGAAACTATTTCTAGCTCCTGCTCTGTAGCTCACACTGATGATCATTACTGAGAGGCCTGGAAGTGCCAATTGCCACTTTGATGGGTGGTCTGAGCACAGAATCACTGGGCTGTGTGGGACAGATAGAGCTACCCTTCCATCTCCCCTGGGTGGGGCCTTGGACAAGAGTCAGCATGGGGACTTTGATCCCAGTGTCCATTCTGCAACCCCTGGCAGTGGGCAGCTCTGGGCGAGTCCCATCCTCTCCTCTCCTCTGGGCCTGTTTCATCTGTAAAATAGAGGTTTAGACTACATGTTTGATAAGGTTCTATGTTTGATTTGGATTATCTGCCATTGTTTTCTAAAGGGTGTTCACACCAAAAAATGTCCCCATCTTTTCAACTATTGCTCACAGATCAGTGACAGAAGGTAAGACGACCACTATTTATAAATTATGATGAGTGGATAATCAGCAGCCTTCAAATTAGGCCTTCCTCTTTGGAAGCTGAGAGGTTTGGTTTTAAGTTGTTTATCATCATTTAATGCTGTTTTCTCATTCACTCTAACCCACAGGGGCAGGGGAGAATGACAAGCAGATGTTTTATTATTTAGGGGCTCTGGGGGAAGATTTGAAACTTTTACTGCAATGATCATTCTCTGCATTCTTCTGAGTCAGCAGAAGCTTTGATGAACTCAAGAGAGGGCAGAGGGATTGAGATAGATATAGAGCAGAGGATGGTTGAGACAAAGCATGGCTTAACAGAAGTTGCTGGGTCCAGCAGTTCCTGGCTACAGACAGCATGGGTTATGAAATTCATGTATTTTTATAACATTTTGCAAAGAGATTTCATTGCCATTATTTCATTTTCCCATGAGGAAAATGCCATTGCCTGAGCTCAGAGCACTATTGTCAGGCCATCTCTGTGGCGTCACAGGATAAAGCACAGCACTATGAAGCTAGCCAGCCAACAGCAGTTTCAGCATGAATTTGATCTCCAGCTGGGGAGGTGACCCACATGGCATAGCAGACCTCTTCTGTCTGCCCGCTGCTCCCCTCAGCAGTGTACTTCATCAATCTACCTGTTCTGCTCACCACTCTGTCTCTAGTGGGTCCTCTCACTGTCCCTGTGCCTCTGGCCTGTACTCCAGTTTTGTATGCATAAATAAATAAATTTTTTTAAAAAAACCACCACTATTGTCTCTCATTTGAATCTCCCTAATTGTATAGTCTCCCTGGTTGTGGTATATTACCCTAAAAGTGACCATAAAAATATAAAGGGATAGAAACTAGATTAGTGGCCACTGATGATGGAAAACAATGACTGATTCCTCTTCTCTTGAATCAAAACTGACTTTATAATTTGAATTAACCAATACATATGGAAGAAATGATACTGTGTGTGTTCCAGAGCCTAAGCCACAAAAGATATGGCAATTTTCACTTTTACTTTATCAGGGCCCAATTACTATGTAAAGATCTTCAGGCTGAGACCATGGTTTCTCAATCTCAGTGCTATTGAAATTTGGGGACAAATAATTCTTTGTGGAGGTGGGCTGTCTGACGCACTGTAGAATGTTTTGCAGTATCACTGGCCTCTACCCATTAGATGTTCCAGTTGTGACCACCAAAAATGTTTCCAGATATAATCATGTGCAACCTGTGAGAAAAAAATAACCCCTGCTTATGAGCCACCAGACTAGATGACTGAAGGAAAAGAGACCATGTGATGAGAGAGGCCTACCAATGTCCAGTTGGTCTAGTCAGTCTGCTAAGAAGTCAGACACATGAATGAAGATGGCTTCAATATCACAGACTCAAAGGAATACCCATTTGAATGTTATCAAATGATAACCCTAGAAGACACCACATGGAACAGAAGAACCAAACCTAGTCTATTCACAGAAACCTGAGAAATAATATATCTTTGTGAGCTACCAATTTGAGAGACCATTTGTTATACACATCAACAGATACCTGTAAAACTGTTCTACCTCCATTCTTGCTACCACTGATCTTCTCCACTCCCACGACTACTAGAATGGTCATTCTGAACTACATTTCTGAAATTCCTGAGTTCTAGTCAAATTTCCCAGGTCCCTCCACACCATTCAAATTCCTTTGTATAGTCCACCCAGTACTTCATAATGTCACCTTTCTTGGGAGCCCCTCAAGCCCCAAGATTCAAGCTATACATGTCTACTTGCAACTTCATGGTCCACTCTCTTTTATATCTTTTTGTCTTTGCCCAGAGAATGATCTCTTTCTATTATGCTCTTCAAACCTGTCTATTCCTACATTTCCTGACAATTTAGATTAAAGAGCATCCTGTCCAGATTCCAGATTTGCATTGTTCATGTAGATCCAACAATCTGGTGCTTTCTCCTTATAATACCTCAAAATACACAGTGTAAATCTACTAGTAATACCAGATCTCAAATCACACTGTAATTCATGTTTTCTTCATATTTCTGAAGACTTAAAGGTTAAAAACTTTGAGTCTGTTGTTGCTTTATTGATAGTATCTGGTATATAATAGATCTTAAATAAATATTTGCTGAGTGGAAATAGTAGGCTGAACTAAGTATTACTATTTCCACTATGCAAACAAAGAAATGGAGGCTCAAAAAGTGAGGCAAGTTGTCCAAGTTTTCCCATGAGCTAGGTCTTCAGATTCTACCACCAGTTCACTTCCCACTTCTGATTCATGGACAGGTAAGTAACCTCTCTTCATCAAGATGTAATGACTTGCAATATTGGCACTTCCTTCTGGTAGTGAGCTTGAACAATTAGCAACCTCATCTCTGTGCCAGTTCTAATTTCTAAAAAAGATTCTTCAAGTGGCTATGAGAAGAACTTAGCATCTAGAAATTGTGTTAGCATAGAGCCCAACTCAAAGCATTTTAGGTAGAAACATGAATAAGAAAAATTCTAGGGGTATCTGGATTCAGGTGGACCTGGGTCCAGGGATCAAATAATGTTCTGGGTACTAACTCCTGGCAATTCTAGGCTTTAGTTCATTTTCTGTATTAACAATCTCTTCAGAAAGAGAGTTTTTTGTTTTTACTCCAATAAAGATCCCAGAATTAGATATCACTAGATAGGTTTGAAAAATTATGTACCAATTCTTGAGTCAAATACTGTAGCTGAGTGTTTGGAATGTGCCAATTAATCAGCCTCATCTTAAAGTGATGTGGAAATCAGTTTCAAGACAGCTCTCAATGATCTGCCTTCCCATATCCCTTACAGTCTCCCACATTGAACCAAGGTTGGCCTATGTGAACAATAGAAATATAGTTGAAACGATGGTATGTGATTCTAAAGCTAGGTCATAAAGGTTTTGCTGCTTCTACTTTGATCTCTTGGATTGCTCCCTCTAAGGAAACCAGAGTTGGCTATGTACCCCAATGTGACCTCAGTTAAAAATAATACAATTTTAAAAATATACAATTTAATTTTAAAAAATGTATTGCATGCATACAGAAAAATTCATAACTCACAGGTGTATGTATGTTACTTTTCCAAAGTGAAACTCTATCTAGTTACCCCAGGAAATGTCCTTCAGCTTCCCTTGCAGCCTCTGCCACTTACCAGCCTCAGAAGTAAACTCCATCCTAACCCATCTCATTAGTTTTGCCTTTTTTAAAATTTTCTATAAATACACTTGCAGTCTATACGTCCTCGGTTTTCTTGTACTTGACATCACATTTATGCTTTTGACTTGTTAAAACTCATCTCATGAATTAAATATGTAAAAATGATGACTGAGGTTAGAAAGGAAATGGAAGCCCGAGATTCTGAGACGTTTGGTATCCTACTTGGGATTTCCCGAGGTGGGGAAGGGCCCACTCTACACCCTTTCTGAGAAGCAGAAAGCAAGGTAGAACACACAGGGGGTGTGGTTACAGGCGAGCGGGGAGGAGCCTGAAGACCGTGAGCCTGGCCCCGCCCCCGCACCCCAGCGACAGTTGGCGCCGGGGGCCGGGGCCGGACGTAGGCTTCCTGTTGCGCCTGCGGAATCACCGTTTGACCCCGGAAGTGTCGGCTCTCCGGGAGCTGTCACCGTGGACTTCGGCGGCGGCGGCGGCGGTGGCGGCGGCGGCGGCGGCGGCACAGCGCCGGTAGTGAAGCCGCCGAGGTGAGTGCGTGGCTGTGCCCTGCCGGATGCAGAGCACGGGCTTGGGAGGAGCCGGGGCGGCCTTGGGCCTCCCCGCCTCCACCGCGGGGCCTAGGCTTAAGCTGCCAGAGGGGCTTTCAGTCCCCCTCAGTGCCATCCTGCCCGAGCCACGAGCCCTGGGTTTCGAGACCCGACCCCAGAGTGACCTTGGATGACTCGATGCCCCTTCACCCCGGCCTTCAGTTTCCTCAGGGTTCATTCATTCGTTCCAGAAATCTAATGCCTGCTGCACGCCAGGCACAGAACTAGGCCCACAAGGCTTCCACTCCCATGGAGTTTACAATCAGTAGATGGAGACAATCCTGACAAGGAAATGCACAAGATGATTAAAGATATAATAACTGGGAGGATCAGTACTTTAGAACAGGCAGGGGAGGTCTTGAGGAGAGTAATACTGAGTTGAGACCAGATGGATGATGAAGAGGCAAACTGAGGCAGCAGAAACCATGGCGATGCTTGGTAGTCGGTGCTTGCACCTGCCTCCCATTTTAAAGAAAGCCCTTTCCTTACTTTTGATTTCTGCTGTCCTAATTGGCCCTGGGGATGCAGTGGTTGATGCAGCTGTTGTCATGATCACTGTTAATTCTTTTGGTGTATAGTCTAGTCTTTGGTTAATTTCTACCCATACTTTAAGTGAAAATGCAAATCTTCCCTACTCCTTCCCACAAGCCACTTTTCTCTTGAATGTTTAAATGTTGTCATAGCCTCATGGGCTTTGCTCACGGAGTATATATCACAGTATTTTTATTTGTTTGTATGGTTATTTGTCTTGCCTATAAAGATTGTAAACACTGTGAAGGGCTGGACCAAGTCTGACATTTGTCTCCTTAGTATTTTCTGGACTTCAGTGCCTTGCCCAGAGAAGATGCTGAAAAATCGTTGAATAGAGGAATGAAATGATTAACATAGTCTTTTCTCTCCAGTTGTTCATAGGTGGCCTCTCTTGCCACTAAGTTATTGTCTTCCTTTTCCACGCATGTCTCTCCTTAACTTAAATGACTCCTCATGGCCTAAAGATGAAAGACCAAAATCTTAAGCACTTAAGGTTCTCTTTGAAGTAACCCATCTTTCCTATCCAACCTGGTCTCTCCCTGCTTCTGTAATCCTCTCCCTTACATTGTGTCTTCAGTGATGCCAAATACCTCCCTCTTCATTCAAAGCCAAGACTCTGAGTCTTTGCTCAGGCTTGCTTTTTTCCTAGAATGCTCTTCCTTCTCACCTTTTCTTCAACATGAGGTTGTAGGTCATCTTTTCAGTGGCATTCTCTCTTTCTGTGCTGTGCTCCAATTTTGGAAATTTCCTATTATAGTTCTAACCAAACCAAATGATAGTCATTCACATACCCAGGAGCTGGAATATATTTAGCCAGTGTTTGCTGAGTAAAATGAGAAGGCCCAAAGTGCTCTGCCTGTGAGTGGGACTTGAATAATAACAACAAATAAACTTTAATGAGTGTTCATTATCTGCCAAGTACTATGTTGAACACTGAACATTGATTACTTCTCACAACAACCCTGAGAGATTCTGTATTATCATTCCAGTTTTATGGATGAGGAAATCAAGGTTTAGAGAGGTTAAGAAACTGTCTGTAGGTCTCAACATGGATTTAAAAAAGGCAAAGCTGGGATTTGAATGCTGGCTGCAGAACTGTATCCACCACCTAGCCTGAGTCTGATCTGCCCTTGCAGGCACTGACTTGCAGAGTGGATTTCTTCTGAAAGCAGATGCTGTGTCTACCTGTCGAGGCCTGGACTATGGGCCTTAGAATTTAAAGGGTGGAGAGCCGCCGCCTCCTTCTGACTCTTTCCCCATCATGCGTCCCCATACTTGACACTCCCTGTACTGTCTTTGGAAGATGAGAATGGAAAGAACTGGGCCTATGAGTCATTTAAACTTCTGCAGGAGTGTGCGGGCTACTCTGTTTCCAGCTGCCCTCCCAGTATCTAAGAGGCTAGGAAAGAAGTATTTTTAGCATGTTCGGGCACAAGAGCCAGAGGTGCTAAGACAGAGGAGCTGGGCTTCAGTTTCAGCCTGGCCACTAATGCCTTTCCTTTGAGCAAATCAGCGTCCCTCTTTGGACATCTGAGCATAATAATCTTTGTCATCCTTAACTGGGTTTTTGTGAGAAGCCAGTAATATAGTGACTTGGTTAGAGATAATACAGTAACCCAACAGAGAATATTATCTATGCTTGCAAAGCTGAGAGATGGAAACTCACCCAAAGCCCCTTTAATTTGCTTTGTGATTGTTTCCAGGCTACCTTATATGCAGGGACCGTGTGTCTGACCCACTGAGCTTCTAAAGCTGGAATAGGCTTGGGAAGTGAGACAGCCTGGAATCTCTCTTTCTATTCCTCTAAGATACAAATCTTGACAGTCTTTAAAGTAGACCATGAACCAGGGCTCCTGTGGACAAACTTCTTCCTGCCTCCTTACCTTTGCTCCTGCTATTTCTTTTATCTGGGGTACCCATTTCCCTGGTCAATCTCCACTATCAAGACTCAATTTAAGGGGACCTCCCTCGTGGCACATGGGTTGAAGTGTTAGCACTATCTAGCTAATAAGCAAGCCACTGCCATGTGAGTAAGTTCCCCGGCCAGGGAACTGACCCACATGGCACAGCAGACCTCTCCTGTCTCACCTGCTGCTCTCCTCAACAGTGTATTTTGGTAGATCCACCTGTTCCGTTCCCCATTCTGTCTCTGGTGAATCCTCTCACCTCCCCACACACACACACACCTGGCCTACACCCCAGTATGCATAAATAAATAAATCTTCAAAAAAAAAAAAAGACTCAGCGCAAGCTCTTCTATTCTTTTAGGGTCTCTAGAAATGCTTTTCTAGAGCACTTACCTCCACTACACCAGACTCTGGACTACAAATGTTTAAGAGCCAGCTTGCTTCACCAAACACTAACTACTAACTTACTTTGGATAGGTTTCTTATCTTCTCTGGAGTTTCTGTTTCCTCATAAAATGAAGACAATAATAGAACTAACCTCAGCATTACTATGAGTGTTAATACATGTAAAGTGGGTTAATGTGTGTAAAATGAGTTAATGCAGAGAAAAGTGGCAGCTATTTGAACATGTTGCTCTTGCTGCTATTGTTTTTATTATTGTTGGCTCAAAAACTCCCTCAAACCAGAGACCCTGCCTTCTTCATAATCAGCACCTGGCCTGATATCTGGACACCTGTCTATGCACATATAATCCATGTAACTCATAGCTGACTAGGCCTTCAGCTTATGTGCAAGGATTCAGAGTTAATGGTTTCCTCATTTTGGTCTTGATATATCTTCATGTTGTCATTGGGACTGTGCTAACTTTCTAATGGCATGTCTTTTAAGGGGCCCAATTCACTTCTGTTCCATGATTCAGCCAAGATACTTTCCTTCCTGTGGCTCAGGGCAAGTGGTTTTGTGAAAAAGAATGTTAGATGGGAAGGTAAGAGACGTGAGATTTGCCATTCGCTAGCTCTGTGCCCAGTTTGGGCATCTGTAGAAAGGCGGTTGCACTGGCAACTTTCTATGAATTCTTTCTTCCTCCTTCATCCCTCTGTTCACCCTTGTACTTCCCTGGAGCCCAGAGACAGTTGTGAAATGTTAATGTCATCTGTAAGTGAGGTAAGGCCCAAGACACTAATCCTGAAAAGACTTAAAATCTGATTGGGAATAGAAGCAGAATTATTTATTAAACATTGATGAAATTGCATATTCTTCAGAGCTTTGCTATTCACGGAAGAGGTAACAAGAGAAAGGGAACTCAGGCAATGTCTTCACAGACCTGGAGCCTCTATTAGACAATCTAAATTCTTTTAGCTATACTTCTCAAAGGGGGTAGAAATACATTAGGAGTCACTTGGGAATGTTTTCTTCCTCAACTGAGACTTCTTTAGGCAAAAGAGTCACTTCAATCTGGATTAGTATGGTAGGAACAAGACCCCTGAGATATATACCAGGAATCCCGTGAAGTCAAAGTTGGAAGCTTCTTTCCTGGCCCTGGGCTCAAATCAAAGCCGGCTCCTGTCCTCAGGAGCCTATGTGTCTGCTCTCTTCTTCCCATCCATATTCCTTTCAGGAGGGTCACGCAGCACAATGCCAGCTCTGCCCCTGGACCAACTCCAGATCACCCACAAGGACCCGAAGACAGGAAAGCTGAGGACTTCACCAGCGCTGGTGAGCCGGTGCCTTGAGGCCATTCAGCCTGATACTATCATTCTTGCAATTTCAGAACCAAAAGTAAATTCCTTCTTTATCTGTTCCAAGAATGACCCAAGGGCCACAGTCAATAATTAGTAACTGAGATACTACTAGGTCTTCCAGACCCAACGCACAAGTTTCCTTTCCAAGGAACAGCTTGAATTTGAGTAGTATTTTCCATGTCGCCAGCCCACACCTTTCTCCCAAAGCATTTCGTTTTGAATCAGAATCTGAAGGCAGTTCTGACTCAGCCTGAGCTGGCCTAGAAATGGATCTGGCCCAAAGCCGGGCTTGGGGATTTGACCCTTTGGGAGGTATTCAGGTTTCAGGCAGGCCTTTCTCAGAGCTATCTAAACTGCTATCCACACTTTAGGGGGAGCACTGATTTCAGAGGTCGGTCCGTCTTTTATCTCAACGGGCTACATACAGACTCGGCAGGGCTTGTGAGAATGAAAAATAAGGAGGCTGTGGGCATGTTGATTACCAGCTATGAAGAGAGATTAGAGCCTCAGAGAGGTGCCAAGCTGCTGAAGAAGGAGACAGACGTGGAGACTGGAATGCCCATACCCACTGCTCTTTTCCCAAGAATATGAGCTTACTAGAACAAAGTGAGAGGAAGTATTTTCTGGGGGCTTGAGTAAAGTCGTGGGAAACAACATCCTTGGTGTTTAATTTCCTGCTTTCTGGAGGCTTCCTTTTACTTCCTAATTGCTCTCTGAAAATAGTATTTAACGTTTATAGATCACTTGCTGTGGGCCAAACCTTCCTAAAACTTCACCTGGATTATCTCCTGTAAGCCACACCATGGCCCCTGTGTGTAGCATTTTGGTTACCCCCATTTTACAAATGAGGAAACAGTGAGTTCATGGTCGCAAAACTAGAATATTAGGGTATCTAGTGTGGGAACCTAGTCTAAGACTGACCAGGGCCCACACCAGTAACCTTTTTTTCTATAAAGCCTCTCTTTTAAATAAACTTATAAGGTTTGGAGAGTAATTATCTGAAAATCTAGAACTGTTCTGTCCACTCATGTAGTCACCTAACAGGGTAGTCGTGTCCTCACATAGTGAGGGAGCACTTGCTATGTGGATACTACAATGAGGAACTGGGGTTTTAAATTAATTTCAGTTAAAATAACCCTTTCTGGTGAATGCCTAATATATTGGCCAGCTCTGATAAAAAGTAGTCCCATTGTTGCAGAAAGTTCTTTTGGATAGAGCAGGAGACTGGCTTCTTGAGAAGTCAAGTCTGATTTGCCACCTCCGTCCTTCCCTGCATACTGCATACCCAGGCTTCTAGACTGTGGGCTGATGGTTGGAATACACATGCAGCCAGGAAGTTTCCTGACAGGAGGGGAGGGGTCCCGAACTGGGTATTGAAGGGTGAACACGCTCCAGCCAGGTTACGTAATAGGAAAAGGGTGGACCTGGCAGAAGGACCCGATATGCCTGAAGTCCTGAGAGACCCAACTCCACGAGCAACCACAAGTCACTTGGGGTGGAAGCAGTATCGCCGAGGTAAGGAGAGTGGGTTTTGCGTTTGATCTCACACATACTTGGCTACGTGACTGGGCAGGTTACTTAACCTCTCTAAGCCTCATCCCTAAGGGTATTAATAGAACCAGCTTTGTGGGGTGGTTGTACGGATAACAGAACATAGTAAGCACTCAATAATGATGGTGACAATAACAATGACAACAACAGAAACAGTGGGGAACAGTGTGGGAAGAGAGGTGAGCTGAAGCAGACAACTGTCTTGACTAAGGAGTGGTCTCACTGGCCATGTGGAAGAGTCTCACCCTGCAGGCCACCAGAATCTCCTGAAAGAGTGTACTGAGATGTGTACCCACCCTATATTTGTCTCTTTAGTCCCAACTTAGGACAAGAACGTGTCTAGTCAAGGGACAGCCACCATGCTGCCTTCTAGGGTGCTGGGTGGAGCTAGTGTTTTCTGAGTGGCTACTGTGCACACAGCATAGAGTTGGTGCCATTGAAAATTCACAAGGCCAGAGTGGGTGAATGAGCTTTTGGGGAATACAAGACTCAAATAAGGGAACATTTGGAGGGCAGTGCAAAGTGGCTTTCTTTCAAGATAAACGGAAATTTAATAAGCAGAGAATATTCAGAAGCTTCCTGGAGCAAGGGGGACTTATGTCAGGTGTGAAGGGTAGAAGATAGAGTTGGAGTCCTGCACTGCCCAGAAATCTTCATGGTTCTATTACCTACAAAATAAAGTCTCCACTCTGGAACTTGGCATTTAAGGACCTTAAAAGACTGAACTATCTCGTCATTCATTTCCTCATTCATTTCTTTGTCCAGCCAGTAAATGTATATGGAGAGTTTGTTTGATACCAGGCAGTGCTCAGCAGACTAGGGATGTGAGCAAGGCTCAAATGGTCGCCAGAGACCTACAGTCTAGTGGGGAGACAGAAGGCAGAGCCTCCCTTTTTAGATAATTATACTGGAGTATCACTGAAGCACAATAAACTCTACATTTTTAACACAATTTGATTATTTTTGATATCTGTTGAAGCCATCACCATCACCAAAATAATGAACATTTCCAACACCAACAAAGGTTTTTCTTGTGCCTCTTTTTTCTCCCTGTCCATAGCAATCACTAAAAGCACTGTCTATGCAGTTCAACGGCAGTATTACAGTCAAGGAAGCCCAGAGTACAGGAGCTAGGGGAGCCCAGGTGAACCCTTAGCCCATTCAGGGATGGGAGTTGGGGAATCTTCCTGGAGAAGGTGATGTCAGAGCTAGGATCAAGTGCAAGACTGGGAAGGCGCGTGGACACTGCTGGTCATTTAGTAGGTCTATAGTGATGCTTTGGTTTAAATCCTTAGTTGCCTCCTTGGCCCTGTGACCTTGGCAAAATTACAAAACCTCACTGAGCATTTGTTTCCTCTTCTGTAAAATGGGGAGAATACTGTCTCCTTTTTAAATAGTTGTAGACAAGAGAAAAAATACTGTGGAATTTGCCTCTTCTGCAGCTGGCACAAGGTAATAGTGATTTTTGTTGTCATCATTCCAACATTCTCTTCCTCCAAATCCATCTCCCACCATCCAGTGCAATCTGTGCCCCCTTTTTTATAACGCATTTTTTAATGCCTCCATAAAAATTCTATTTCTGCCATTTAAAGTCCTTCCCATCCTCCAGGGTCCAATCAGATGCTGCCTGTTCTGGGAAACGTGCCCTTGTCCTCCAGATGTAGTTGATTTCCTTTTGATTCCCATAGTCCCTCTGCAGGTTTGCATTGTCACTTTCTGTTTTGTGCTCACTTAATGGCTTAGATGTGCATCTTCCCTTCTAGAGCAGGGGCTCTGTGAGCACCTGGATGCTTCTCTTCATGTGCCTACCTGGCACAGGGTGCCGGAAAATGTTTGCAGGATTGCAAGGAAGGTAGAACCTCAGGGGTATGTGTATGTGTGTCTTTTGGGGAAAAGGGAAAGAAAGTAGTCTGTTCTGAGAAGTGAGGTGAAGTGTCATTGGGTGGGGGTGGGTAGTGGGGGGTAGTGAAAAGGGAGTTTAGATTTCAAGGAGATGAATTTAGGTCCCAGAGAGTAGTTTGACCTTGTTGCAGCCAGCAGGATTATTTTTCAAGAGATTTGTTCTTGGAACCCCACTGTATAAATCCTGATATAAATAGGAGGGGTCCTAAAGACCCACATCAGAGGTAACCCCTGAGGAATCCTTGTGGGATCCAAAGACTCCATAGTTTGAAGACTTGCATTCAGCAGTAGGGAGGCCTAGGTGGTTCTCAAGGAGACAGTCCAATTGTCACGACTTCCCTGTTGCCCCTGGACTAACAGAACTGGAAGTGGGTGCATGAGATTGCTAACAGCTGAGGTGTTAGTCTTCGCCCTCCTCCTGTTTCCACTTCCCGTGGAGAAAGCAGCCCTTCTGTAGACACAGGAGAAAACTGAGCTCTTCGTCTTTTCTTTATGGTGAACAAAGTAAGATTTGTTCAAGGGGAGGTAAGGGTTAGAAGAAAGAACTTGTGATTCTAAACTGAGACCTGCAATTACTTGATTAGCATCCTTTCTTTAAGGAAAAATTTACTGAGGTTTTTCTCTGATTTACAGAAAGGATACAGCACAATGATACATATAGTCTGCTACTGTTTATGTCAGAAAGTTGAAAATAGACCCAGAGAAATACCTTAGATGGGCATATTTTAACACTAATGCCTGGAAAAGATCTGAAAAGACAGTCATCAGATTCTGAGTGGTTATCTCTGGGTGGGTGGGGGTGGCACAGAGAAGGGGAGTCACATCCCAGGGGACTCCCCTGTAGTGTCATAAGAGATATATGTGTCAATGATATAATTCAAAGGTAGTTCAACAAACAAATAAACAAATAATTTGAAAATTAATAACATTCTTTTTTTTAATTTTTAAATTATTCAAGTCATAATTCCCTTGAACCAGAGATAAACCACCATTAGCTTTGGGGTATTTTCTCTCCTATACTTGTTTTTGAACCTGTTCCTGTGTGTGAATGCGTTAAATATTTATACTTTTTAAAAAATCCAAAACCTGGTTATATCAAATAGAGATTTGCATCCTGTTTTCTCTTCCCTTAACCTTTCCCCCGTCATTAAATACTCCCCACCAAAAAGCAGGGTTTTTAACGCCTGCCTAGTGTCCCCGGGAAGCAATCAAGCTCCCTTTGTTAGATACACTTGGTTCTTTATGCTTAAAAGCTCCTTGGAGGGTCACCAATTGGAACAGCCAAGTGTTGTCATTGCTGTGGGTTGGCAAATGGGCCCTCGCTGACTAACCTCTGCCACGTTAACACGTGGTTTTTGGATCCGTAGCACCCCGAGCAGAAGGCAGACCGGTATTTTGTGTTATACAAACCGCCCCCTAAAGACAACATTCCCGCCCTAGTGGAGGAGTACCTGGAACGCGCCACCTTCGTAGCCCATGACCTCGACTGGCTCCTGGCCTTGCCTCACGATAAATTCTGGTGCCAGGTAACATTCTATCAAAATTAATGCTAAGACAAGCACATGACATGCCATTGGTTGGTTGTTGTTTTTCTTCCCCTAGGAGGTGCTTTTTTCTCTACTTCTTACACTGGATCCTTAACAGCAAATTGTGGTTTGGATTATTCTGTCGTGTAGCACAATTTTAATGTTTACACAATGCCCCCCAAAGTGTCCTTTTTAGAAACTTGTGTTTAGCCCTCAGCTCATTCATACCTGCTTGGTCCCTTGGGTTGGAGTGTTTGCTATAGGCCAGGGCTGATGGGCCAAGAGTCTCTGCACAGTCTACCCACAGGCCCTTGGGCCTCAGTGACAAATCCTCTCTCTCCTGTCTCACGTGGTTTAGGTTATCTATGATGAGACTGTGCAGAAGTGCCTGGACTCTTACCTGCGCTATGTCCCCCGAAAGTTTGATGAATGGGTGGCGCCAGCCCCTGAGGTTGTTGAGATGCAGAAGCGCCTGCATCGAAGTGTTTTTCTCACCTTCCTCCGTATGTCCACTCACAAGGAATCCAAAGTAAGTCCCTGGTCCCATGATAGCTTGACACCCAATACCCGGTACCTCTGTGCTGGACTCCCAGGCCCCTGGGAAGGAAGGCTCTGGAAGTATTGGGTTTCCTCTTTGTCCTCCCCCCGCCTTTATTCCCACCACTGGGGAAGAAATCTGTGCCACGGCCCTTATCCTCTAAGTCACCGGCCCATCTGTATTACACCCAGTGTTCTCATCAATGGGAGCCGAGGGCCCTCTGCCAGGCAGCGCGTGACTGCCTTTTCTCATGCGTCAGAGGGAGAACACTGATTCTGAGTTTTTAAGGGAACTTGTATGAGCTTTTTAAAATCCATGAAGCTTTCCCCCCAGATTTTAAAAATAGTGATGCTCTCTGTAGATAACTTAAACATTACAAAAGTATTTTGTAGAAGTGCAGGTCATCCACTAAATCTCCTTCCAAGCTAACCACTGTTACAGTAGATGTTATTTCAGGGAATTCTTTTTTCCCCTCAGAATGTTTGTGTATTTATTTTTTAAAATGAGTTTCTTGCTTTTTAACTTTTTAGTATGGAAATTTTCAAATATGCCCAAAAGTATAATGTACCCCAGATACCCACCATCCTGTTTTAATGATTATCAACATCTTGCTGATCAGTTTTCTCCCTCCTCATGCTTTTGCTTTTTTTCCTGGAATATTTCAGAGTAATCCCAGACATCATGGTAATTCACCAATAAATATTTTCAAACGAATCCCCAAACGACTGTTAAATAGCGCGCTTTTATCTTTTTACATTGAAGTGAAGAGTGGCTATTGCTCTAGGTCGGCACGTGAGGCCCCAGATGTCCACAGTATGGATGGACCTTCATTTGTAGCCAGGCCCCTGTTGATGGACCTGAAGGTGGTTGTTACCTGTGAGCTCACGATACTTGACCGCTCAGGTGCTCTCAGAAAAAGTCTCTCAATTTCTCTCTCTGTACTGTTCCTTAGGATCACTACTTTTCCCCCTCTGCCTTTGGAGATTTCCTCTACGAACACTACCTGTTTGACATTCCAAAGATCCTGGACCTCTGTGTGCTCTTTGGAAAAGGCAACTCACCATTGCTCCAGAAGATGATAGGTGCGTGGGGCCTGAGGCCTGGGGGGTGACTTCCAAATCACACTACAGGTTCCAGAGGTGGGAACTCTGCACATGGGGGCTTCAGAACAGCAACAGCAGATGGTGCTTAGAGGTTATTTAACAGATAGATGAGCGTCAGCTCCAAACAGTTGGCCAGGTGGCAGTGGGAGAGGAGATGAAGATGTCTTGCAGGCTTCGGATTGGGCCACGTGTCAGACAGTTGAGGACAGGGAAGTTTGTTTCGGTGAGAGCTAAGCTTTCTTTGCGTGCTCACGGGGGCCCAGCATTCTGCTGAGCACTCCTTATATATTATCTCACTGACCCACCGCAGCCCTGTAACATACATGTGCTGCCATCTTCCCCGTTTACAGGTCAGAAAACTGAAGTTAAAATACAAGGTGCTTGGCTAAAAGGCCACGACTAAGGATCCAGATTGGGATTTATGTCATAGCTTGATTCTTAAACTCTTGTTCTTTGCCAGTCTTTGCTTCAGGGGTGATGGTGCTGGCTGCAGAAATGTACAGTTTGCATTGTTGCTGAGAACAGATAGGGACAGAGTTCAGAAAGGACTCGGGCTGAGAAAAGGACAGATAGCAGCATTTGTATCCTGCCAGGAGGCAGCGGGCTGAAGGGTTCAACCAGAGACAGAAGCTTTGTTGGGCAGTTACAAAGCTGAGTTATCTCTTGAAATTATTTCCTTCCTTCCTTTTCTCACCCTCTAATAATAAAGGTAATATGTTAATTTAGAAGATTTTGGGAAGAAAATACAGTATAAAGAAACAGGGAAGCAGTTACCAAATTCTTAAACCCAGAGACAATCATTTGGTGATTATATCTTTCCAGTCTCTTCTCTGTATTTCAATATATACATATATGTTTCAGGGTGTATATATGTATATGCATGTCTGTACACACACATACACATGTTAGAGTATTATGTATGTTAAATTTCACATCTAGCCTTTTCATTGAGACAACCTCTGGTCTTCTCATTCAGATCTGATTATTGCCCGGTCATCCATTAATTTATTTTCCCAGAAGACCCTTAATAATTTCACTGTACACTAGACTGTGGCAGAGTGAACACAAGCAGGCATGGTTCGTGACAATTATGTATTCATTCAGTTTGGTTCGAAAAGAGCATTCCCGGGGGCAGCATCGGGAGACAGGAAGGGGAAGCTGAAGCCAGAGCGGGAGGGCTCCGTGCCAGGCTTTTGCACTTGGGAGTGGCATTGTTTGGTGTCTAAAGGGCGGCCTCTGGAGTTGAACTGTCCATTCATACCCCAGTGCCATTTCTGTCTATGTCCTTTTGATCAAGTCAGTTGGTCACTCTACGCTCAGTTTTCTTATCTGAAGAATGGGAAAACTAGTAACATATCAACCTTGTAAGGTGGTTGTGGGGGTTAAAATGAGATGGTGTGAGAAGAGTGCTTGGCATGGCGCCTTGCACCTTACCGGCATTTGGTGTGAGCTCTTATTGTGATGAGACCGTGGGAGCTCTGGGAGCCCGGAGCAGGGTGAGGAGCCATCTGGTAATAAAGTTAATCTGGCATCCTGTGGGTGGGCAGAGTGGATAGGAGACCATCCAGGAGGCGCGCTTCAGTGTGGGTTTCAAGTGAGAGCCTGGTTGAGTTGCTGGGGTGAAAAGGACATTCAGGAAGGAGAATAAATCAGGGCTTAGTGAGGTCAGCTGGAGAGAGAAGTCTTAATGATTCTGGAAAAAAAGGGAAAGGGACTTCAGGAAGACAGGGAGCAGGTTGTGAGTAGAGGCAAGGTCGGCGTTAGATCTGTGGGATAGAAGGTGGCTGTGTGGATACCGGGGGAGAGGATGTCTGGCCAGAGTTCTCAGCAGGGTGGAGAGAGAAGGCTCTGCCTGCTGTGGGGCTCTAGTTTTTTGTGTCACTGACTCTTTGAGAGTCAGGTGAAAACTTTCACCAGAAAAATGTGCCCCTTCTAAATTTTTAGGTGTTCTGATCTCCTGGTTAAGCCCTACATTGGCTTGTTAAGAAGAGCCTTTGTTTTTGTTTTGTTTTACTTTCAGAAGGTGGCTAATTGGAAAAGCATGCAGTATTAGCCATCAATAGCTCCTTTATTGTGCATTACGTGCGTCTGTCTCTACAGGCCCCTTCTTTATATCCCTACAAACATACACACACACTCCCCTCCCGCCCACCCCCACACAAAACAGCTCTCATTCTTACCCATGAGCAAAAGGCACAGCAAGGGGAAACCTCTACTTTCGTTACCACAGAAGCTCTTGAGCAAAGCAGATCAGCTGTGAAAGGGTCGACAGAGAAGGAGGGGACAGGGAATTGGCCGATTGCCCTCTGTGCAGAAGCCTTACCCTCTTCTTTTCTGTCCCTTCCTCCCTTTTGAATCCAGGACTGGTATTGAGAATCGTCGGGTGTGATTTTGAAAGTAGGACCTTTCAGTTAGCCTCTCTTGGAGCTGCTTTGCCAAAGTAGGAGTGTATTGGGCCTTGGCCTTGTTGAGGTTTGCTCTGATCTATTTGTCAATACCTTCCATTCTTCCTGGGTTTCTGAGAAGGGGCATTTCAAAGGATGCCTTTGCTGTCCCTTACCTTTTTTTTTTTTTTTGTATTTTTTAAACAAGATTTATTTATTGTTGCATACAGAACTGGAGTACAGGCCAGAGAGGTGAGAGAATTCACCAGAGGCAGAGTGGGGAGCAGAACAGGCTGCCTGAGGAAGTACACTGCTGAGGGGAGCAGCGGGCGGGTCAGGAGAGGTCTGCCGTGCCATGTGGGTCACCTCTGGGGCGGGGATGGAACTCATGCTGAAGTGGCTTTAGCTTCTTAGTGCTGTGCTTTAACCCCGCTGCATCACCAAGGAGGGCCCCCCTTACCTTTTAACTACTTCTTTAAGAGATTGAAAGTCAGATTTTCATTTCATTGTCACTGGAATAAAATAGAGAGGGCAGAGACTCAGAAGGCCCCAAGGGTAGATTTTGAATTGTAACCTCACTTGTATGCTTGTAAAACATTCCTGGTGCCCCAGTGTATACACTGGAAGAATTGTGCATGCTGTCCCAATTGCCAGCTGGTGTGGTCTAGTGTGGTGAGGCTGACCTGGGGCTCTGGGAATCATGGGAGGAGCCCTCCTGATGGCTGGGGTAGGAGGCGGTGCCTGGAGAAGGTGATGCCTGCTGTATAGCTCTGGGAGGTCACTGCAGGCAGAGGGTGGGAGCAGGGTTTGTCCTCTGAGGTTGAAGATGGCAGGGGAGGAATGTAATGCCAGGAATGGTGATAAGGTAGTCGGACATGTTGGGGCCACATCTCATCTGTCAAGGCCCTTTGTGCCAGGAGCAAGTACAGGTTTGACCTTGAAGATACTTAGGTTAGAAGGGCTTTATGAAAAACAACAGAGGTTGGTGGGGAGACCACTCTGGTATTCCTTGCCTGTCAAGATGAGGTGGGCACAGAGGGCCAGGAAGTTCCTTCATGGGTGTGAGGGGTCCACACCCATCTAGAGGTGAGAAGCACTGACCAGTCTTAGATGCTTGTAAAGCTCAGCTTCTTGAGTCAAAAGCTAAGAGCATCTAGGAAAGTATTTATGGAAAGTCCAGCTACCTAGTTACTTGCTTACTCACCGAGCTCCATCTGGCTTTGATTTCATTCATTTTCAAATCCTAGAGGATAGGGTGAAGGCTCCAGGTTTTCTTTAAGGAAATCAAGGACAAATCTGCCAAGGATTCAGAACATCCTGCCAGTCAGCCTACGTTAGCTGCAATGACTGCTATGCCCCTTCTTCAGGGCATTGGCATTTATTACCTTCACACCCCCTAGCTAGCTTGTTTCTCCTGCACGCCCTCCCTTACCATTTGGACAGCCAGAACACTTGGTTTCTTTTCCAGTCACCATATGCTGTAACCCACGTACTCACAGCCGCAGCAGTTAGGGGATAGTAAACACTTGGAGAGGAGGAGCTTCATTTCACAGGAGCAGCTGCAAAAGTGTGGTAAATCTATCTCCACGTCCCTCTCTGTCTTCTCACCTTGGAGGAGGATAGCTAGCAGATTCAAAAGCAGAGGGTAAGAGAATTTCTAAAAAAATTGCTCCCCAGTGGAGGTGTGGCCTGGCAAGAACCCTGGATTGTAGCATCTAACTTTCTTGAGCAAAGAGATCATATCTGCTCGTGTTCCTGGATGACAGACTCCAACTTCCAAAGCCAGTGCCCTCTACGAGGCACAGTGCCCAAGTGTGAACAGTACTTGGGGACATCAGGGCAGGTCTTTTCCATCACTCATTGGACAGAAGTACTTAAAAGGTTACATTGTGCTGAGCTAGTCCCTTCCCACCCTGGGGAAGTTTCTAGGCTGGATCAAAGCTCCCTGCCAGCACGGCCTGGGGCCAGGACTGCCCTTGCACAGACTGGCTTCCAAGAGAGGAGAAAGGTCACAGCCTGCTGGCAGCCATTTAGGAAGCGTCCTCTCCACCCCCTTGCTCACTTCCCAGTCCCTACCTTTCTCTTCTCTTTTCAGGAAACATCTTCGCCCAGCAGCCAAGTTACTATAATGACTTGAATGAAACCATGCCCACCATCCTTCAGGTACCAGCTCTCAGTTCTGCCCAGGGGAGGGTAAGCTTGGGAGGCAGACCCTCACCCCACTTCATGGTATTCCTTGAAGAGTCAGGGAGAAATGTTTATTCCCACACCCTCCAGACCCAGCTCCACAGGGGCTCTGTCCTGTCTCTCACCGACTCCTTTGAGTTCTCCCTTTTCCCTCTTGAACAGAACTGGAATCTAAGGGCTGTCCAGCACCCATCCAAAAGGAGCTGGATTTGATTTTGAATTGTTTACAGGCAACTAAAGGCCTTTAGAGATAGATCTGCGTTTCTCAAATAAGGGCTTTGAAGCTTTAGAAAATCATTTTACAAAATAATGTTCATTATCAAAAATTTGGATAATATTTTTAAAAAGGAAGAGGAAGATAATTATTCTCTCACAATCCTAGTGATGGGAGCCACTTCTGATACGATTTAGAGTAGTTACATGCTAGCATTCTTGCAAACACATGATTTTCTGATGGACTCTATTTTTCCTTCACTGTTATTTCAATATAGTTCCCATAAATTGCCATCTCCAGGGGATCTACAGTACATATTGCTGAATGTGTATCTTAAATATTCACTATCATACACTTGCCTGGCCTATCCAGTGAGAGAAAATCTGCAGGATTCTTAGAGCTTTACAGAGTACATTTTGCTGTTTGAATCCTCACCAAAATACTGTAAGAAGGGTACCCTCATTATCCCCAGTTTACAGTTTCCACTCTGAACCTGTTTTCTGAGGTCATTGTCCCAACTTGTGGTAGACTGGGATCTATTCCGAAGATTCCAAGGCAGTTTGCAGATCACTCATTCTGCCTGCAGAACAGGGGTCCTTGTGGTTGGCTTGATAGAACGGGAGCAAGTCACCGGGAGCAAGTCACCTTTTGTGTTTCACAGGTCTTCAGCAACATCCTCCAGCAATGTGGCCTGCAAGGGGAGGGGGCCAGTACCACCCCCCAGAAGCTCGAGGAGAGAGGCTGGCTGACGCCCAGCCACATGCCTCTCCTGGTGAGGATTCCCTTTGCCCAGCCTCTTTCTGGCTAGTAGCAGACCAGGAAGCGTCTTCTTTGCTCACAGCCCCTTCCCCCAGCTCAGTGAGCAACCCTTCCAGTCACACAGGTTTAGACTATTTCAGCAGGCTTTCATTCTCCTGTGGGAACTTTGTTTATAGAATAGTGGAAAGAAGAGGGAATTAGAATTCAGATAATAGGGGGGGGGGTTTAGTCTTCATTTCATTCAGCTCAGCAGATTCGTTCCTGCATTATTCATTGAAACAGTCATTGGTTTAGCAATCTGTACAATGCCAGGCCCTGGGCTGGGCACTGGGGGGGTCAAGCAGTAAGCTGAGACAGACAGGGCACGCCTGCTCCATGGCACTTACAGTCTATGGAGGTGACAGACAAAAGGTAAGTATTTAAGGAGTCTGGACATATGTTGGGCCTTGTGCTTAGAAGCACAGGAGGAAAAGCAGGACAGTGGCAGCTGTGAGTCGTCGTCCTTCTGGGAAAGCAGACAGTAAAGTATGTAAGAAAGGAGCACACCAAGTACTTTGGGAACATGTTTTTAACGTGCTTTTAACTTACGAAGGGTAAAGTTCCTTTCCTTATCAGGAAAATGGACATCCTACAGCTGCCCCATTTACTTTTTAGAGTTGGCATAAGAATCAGGAAATTGTGTAAGAAGGCACTCCGTGTTCCATACACCCGCTTCAGAATGGAAGAAATCTGAGAAAAGTGAGGACTTAAAATTCTTATCCTCACTGGGATGTACTTTCTGTGCAGGACCCTGGGTGTTGTCTTCAGATGCAAAGTTAGTTCCCTTCATCTTAAAAGAGAGAATCCGACTATCCTAGAGCTAGCAGTAACCCTAGAGCTTGCTGGGACCACACCCACTGGGGCTCCAGTACCGTGAGGCTTGTGCAGACAGCTAGACAGGGTGACTCACCCAGATCCTGCTCCTAGAGATGGATCAGCCAGGCTTTGCCCCATGAGCAGCGGCCTACTCTCCCCTCTCCAACTTTGCTAGCTTTGTCTCAGACCCTTCACAAAACTGTATATGGAGACAGGAGAATAATGGAGTGTTTTCTTTTGGCAACAGGAATTAAAGGACATTGTTCTCTACCTTTGTGATACGTGCACTACTCTCTGGGCCTTTCTGGACATCTTTCCTTTGGCTTGCCAAACCTTCCAGAAACATGACTTCTGCTACAGGTACAGCAGTAGTTCTGACTGTGGAAGTAAACGTTCTAGTTCACCTACTCATTCAACAAATACGTGCAGGGTACTTAGATTGTGCCGGGCCCCCTTCCAGCTTGGGGGTGTCACAATGAGGAACCTTGATAGCATTCCTGCCTGTGTGGAACCTGCATTTTCGAAACATTCCCATTTTCTGCTAAGAACAGGATAGGGGAGCAAAAACGCAACCAACAAGAATAGGGCAGTTTTAAAATCTACGCTATTTTTTTAAAGATTTATTTTCACTTATTTATGCACATAAGAACTGGGGACTAGATCAGAGGTGTTGGGAATGAGAGGATTCACCAGAGACAGTGAGGGGAAGCTCTCTGTCTGGGATCGAACTTATGTTGCAGTGGCTGCTATTAGCTTCACAGCATGAAGACTTAACCCCTTGGGCCACCAGGGAGGACCTAATCAGCTCAGTTTTGTTTCGCAGCCCCTGTTGTGGACAGGCACAATGGAGTAATAATCAAAAAGTGGCCTGAGGACTTTAGCAATCGTATAGGAGAGAGCACATAGCAGGATACAAGCAGAAGTGGTGGCCATATTATGAAGCACTCTGGGAACCAGAGGAGGGGAACAAACTTCTGTCTGGTGAAAGTTTCACTGACCTTTAAACCGTGTCTGGAGGAACAAACAGGACCCTGCTAGCCAGAGAAAGGTCGCAGTGGTGGAAAGGCATTCCAGGTGGGCGGAGGGAAAGTGTATATACCAGGGATCGTTCTGGGGAGACATGAGGCAGGGGGTGGGGAAACCAGGACAGCAGGAAAAGGGGCTGATCATAGCAAGGAGTCAGTAGAAGTCAGACTATAAGGAGCGCTGAACGAGCTGGCAGGGAGTCGTGACTATTCTATAGGTGGCAGGAGCCCCTGGAGACTTTTATCCCAAATGGTCCTGCTGGGACCAAGAAAGATGTAGAGGAGGACGTGGGCAGCGAGGGAGTGCCTCTCTGTAGTGCCCATATAGTGCCATGAGTATCTGTTTCTTCTGCAGGAAGAAGGGGGTGCGAGGGTGTGGCCTGGTAGCCTGTGCGTTGCCTGGCAATGGTAGGGGCTGGCCTGTTCTCAGTGACCTCTGGCTGTTGTTCTTGCCAGGGCCTCCAGCATTCACAGGCACTTCTGGGAACTGCCCAACTCCATCCGCCCAGCCGTCTGTTCATTTGGTCATTTACTTGCCCACTCAACAAAACATTTACCTAGTGTTGCCATGTGCCAGGGATGGCAGCTGGTGCTCTGACCCTCCTGGGTCTCCTCAGCTCATGAAAATCAGACAGGGGGAGTCATCAGCCTACCAGAGAATGTTAGGAGAAAGCACTGAGCAGCCCTTCCCCCAGAAGAAAGGTTAGGTTGGGACTATAGCTGCCCACTTTTTATGAAAGGCCTCTTTCCTCTGCCAAATGCTTCCAGGAAAATTTGAAAATATCAAGGGATAGCAAATTAAAATTACCAAGAGAGATCATGCTGGGCTTAGACTCTTGTACCTGCTCACTTGCACTCACCATCACCATTTTTTCCATTTTGCTAAAGCATCTTCCCAAATGTGACACAGGTTGCTTTGCAAAAGCCTTTAGACATAGCGGAAACTTTTGCCAGAACTGACTCCTGCAAGGGATAGTCAGACAGAAGAGCATTGCACCCATCGCAGGGTGAGGATGAGGAAGGAAAACACTTCTGACTGCAAGTGACGCTGCCTTTGACCCACAAGTGGACTGGGGCTGGGCCAACCTGTTCAAACTGTGCTAGAGGCCAGGACCGCCCGCTGAGTAACCGCAGCAACCTGGCCCCTGAGGTCTCTGCCTGGGGTTACAGTCACCAAGCCAATCTTCAGCTAATCCCTCTCATAACAGCCTTCTTCCTCCTTCCTTCTCTTTCTCTGTCTTTTAATTCATGAATGAATAATATGTTCACATGGCTCAGAACTCAGGAAGCATAAAATACATAGGGAAAAGTTACCCTTTACCTCTCCCCCCATTCTGCTTTTGTGTAACTTTCCAGCGGTTTGCCTATGTGTATATGCACTTACTTGTATAAGCAAATGTGCATATTTTTATTGCCTGCCTGCCCCCTTTTTAAAATGAGCACTGTGTGTGTTTATATGTATGTAGGTAGATTTCATTCTACATAGTATCCATAGGTGAACCTGTAGGTGTGTTTAAGTTGTTTGCTATTACAAAAAAAAATGCTTCAAAGAATCACTTTGCACATCATTTTTTAAAGTTTACCTGAGGAATAAATTCCTAGAAGTAGAATTTCAGGAACAGATGGTATGTGCACTTTTAATTTCCAAACGTCTTGCCACGTCGCCCTATATCCCAAGTCATCCTTCCACCAGCGTGTTTCCTGGCAACACCTGACTCTGGCTAGGCCAGAGTGCCCTCTCTGTCCCCTGGGTGCCACGCTTGGGCTTAGTGAGGCCTAACTCTGTTGCCTCGTTACCCTCTGCTCTGTACCCACTGCATGAGGGTAGACGTGCCCAGAAGCGAAAGGCCTGCACTTACGGTGCACCCGTGACACATTTAGCACCATCCTAGGCATCGAAGCCTCATTCCTGGCTTTCGGAGGCTTAATATGTTCTCAGGGAGAATGAGGCCACAGAACAGAGGCAGCTGTATTTTAAGTTGTAACGACAATATACTCTGTGCTGTGCGTCTCATTTTGGGAAGGAGTAAATCATACAGCTGCAGTGATCAGGAAGTGTGTGACTAGAATGGAGAGTTTGAATTTGAATTGGGAAAGGAAAGGTGTGAGGTTGCCAAGGTGAGAAGTACCTTGGCCAGGTATGGCTATACCAGAAAGAGAGGTGCTGTAGCTTAATGTCATCGTAGATAGTCTGCTGCTGGCATTGTTTGAGCAAGAAAAGAGGGACCTTGTGTTTGTTTCTCAAATCCCAGTGAACCCTGGTGGTCCTCTTGTTGCTGGATTAGGCCTATCTGGGTCTTGGTTTCCCATCTGAGTAGATCACGAGACTGGAAGCTCTTGAGTCAGGGCAGATCAATCTGTGTGCACTCAGGGAAGAGCCAGGCTGGTTACAGGATAAATTTGTGGCGACAGCTCGGGAACAAGAAATAGGACTTCTCGCATCCTTTGGTTTGCTTTGATTTTCCAACAAAGTGTGCTATTTATAAACTAATGCAGCTTTCTCATCCATGTGTGCCTCCACAGAATAGCTGCCTTTTATGAAATAGCAATTCCTGAACTGGAGTCTGCAATTAAGAAGAGGAGACTTGAAGATAGCAAGTGAGGCGGGGACACAATTAAGAATGTTGGTTTGGGGGAGACCTGAGCCCCAGCCCTGCCTTTCCAGGGCTTCAGCAGTCACGTCTCTATGACGAGGGGGTGGGACCAGGACTGTGCAGCTTCGGGCTCAGGTGTCCCTACCCAGCAGGCTTTAAGCCATCCCCCTTCCGCTCTGCTGCAAGCTCTTGTTAACCAGCCCCCTGATTCCAGATTTACTGAGTGAACTGAGAAGGAACCCTGGAACCAGCCAGGGACTCGGGGCCTGTAGCCCTTTGCCTGCTCTTGGCCTCCTGTCTACAGCACACTGTGAGCCCTTCTCAGTCCTGGCGAGGGGCACCTATAGCTGCTGAGACCAAGTCCCCTTGGTGCCTTTTTATCCCCCAAATCTCTTTGCTTTATTCTCTCTGTTCTTCGAAGGTTGTTAGGTGACCTCTGGCAAAGGCTGTCCCATTCCAGGAAGAAACTACTGGAGATTTTTCACATTCTCATGAGCCAGATCTGCCTTCTCCCTGTCCTTGAAAGCAGGTAAGCCCTTGGGAGCCACCCAAGTCCCTCACTTCACCTGCCATCTCATTGCTTGAGATGGGAAACCTCCAGAAATGTCCTTTTCCTCCAATTGGCCACAGGCCTTGCACAGGGGTGGGGCAGGTGTCTAAGGGAGTCGCAGCTCATCTGCATTGAGTTCATTTCCTGGTGCTCTGTTCCAGCTGTGACAACATTCAGGGCTTCATTGAAGAGTTCCTTCAGATCTTCAGCTCCTTGCTGCAGGAGAGAAGGTGAGTGTAGCTAAGCCGTGACCAGCAGTGGAAAGGCCTGGGACTCTCCCACCAGTCCCTGTGAGGCCCCACTCACTAGGAGCTACTGTTCTCTGTTCACAGTGAGAGCAGATACAAGGGGAGAAGCAGCCCTGTCTCTCATCTACCTTCTGCCCTGCAGGTTCCTCCGGGACTATGACGCCCTCTTCCCTGTGGCCGATGATGTCAGCTTACTGCAGCAGGCCTCATCAGTCTTGTATCCTTCCACCGCAGCTTCTGGGATGGGGCCCGGCTTGGCCAGGTTGGAGATGGGCTGCTGGGACGCAGAACAGAGGTTTAGCTTCAGGACACATGGGTCAGCCAGTTTTTCCTAGTGGCCTGCCAACCCCAGCCTGAGTCTAGAGGAGATGACTACTCTGATCCTTGAGGCAAAAGAGGTTTTTCTTGACTTGTTGAGTACCTGGGCCTGTGTGACCAAGACTGGTTCAGCCCCACTACCATGGACCTCACTGTGGGAGGGGAGATCCACAAGTAAGCAGGTGCACCTGATGCAGCAGAGCTTGGGGTGGGGTGTCAGACAGCGATGGCCGAGCTGAGAGCTGCAGCAGGAGTAGGAGCTGGCCAAGCCCTGAGCCAAGTGCTCCCTGCGGACTGGGGACAGAGAGTGGGCCCATCTGAGGGGCAGTCAGGCATGTGTGTTGGTCACAAGGTGGAGCAAAGAGGAAGGAATCTAGTGGAAGAGGGACTAGGATGTGACAGATGGGCTGGGGGCAAGCAGACGTGCTGGCTCTGGGTGAGACTCACTAAGAACTTTGGACACTGACCTGCAAGCTTCAGGTAGGCGTGAGAGAGTGTGAAGCAGGCTGACCAGGTGGCTCATACTTTGGAAAAGCTCTGGGCCAGGGAGGAGAATGGAGTAGCTGGGATCTCTGTGAGGCCTGGGAGCTCCTGCGGATGCTTTCGCTGGCATCCAGGCATGGCCAGAGAGGGGTTTGGAGTAGAAGTGAAATGGGGGAGTCTAGGGCAACTCCCAGATAGATATCTAACTTGGCAGTGTCCAGGGTGGCAAAAAGGGAAGAGGGCCAGAGGCCATCTTAAAGATTGGGACAGGTTGCTGAGTCCTGCCTCAGGAACAGCTTGTGGGCCCCCAACCCTTGCAGAAGGGCTGGCAGTGACAACACTCTCAATAGGCCCTCCTCCCAGTGGTCATTACAGAGGAGGAGCTGCTGGCTTTTCCAAACAACATGTCCCGGGATACTGTCATGCCAGCTGCTGGTCCTGTGTTAACCAGAGCTGCTCTCTGCTGAGTAGTGCCAGTGTAGCCATGGTCTGCCCTGGTACCTGTGACACCCTCTGGGTGGAGCCCCACTGGCGCCTGGCAAAACCCTGTGTCAGATGCTGGGAAGGGACTGAGGCATTATACTTCCTCAGAGCTGAGGAGGCAGACAGGGCTGAGGCCCCTGAGAGAGATGCCTTAACACGGCCTCACAGGGACGAGACGCGAACTGCCTACATCCTGCAGGCAGTCGAAAGTGCGTGGGAAGGGGTCGACCGACAGAAGGCTACCGTTGCCAAAGACCCACTGGCAGCTGCTGAGGATCCTAATGGGATCGTGGTGACAGAGCAGCCGGTCAGTGGCACACCATCACATCCACAGAACTCAGAGGGAGAGGAGGTGTGTTTCTGGAGCGGCGCTTTCCCTGCTTCCCCCACCCTCCTGGCCCCATCGCCAAGCTTGGGCAGCACAAAACCTCCCTTCTTGGTTCCTGCGCTCAGGGAGCAAGGTTTCTTTTGGAATGACAGCCTCAAGCTACCTTTAGCAGCTGAGGAGTGCTAAACTGGGCGTGAAGAAAGAGCAAATCACTTCAGTTGGCAAGGCCTCAGTTTCCCTTTTATAAAATGGAGTGATGATGCCTTTTCCATGGAAATCCTTCTTGGCACTCTCCTCTGAGAGACAACAGTGGCTGGGAACGATGCCTAGCTTCACTGCTTGGCTCCCTAAAGACCCTCCACTGAACAAGTTTGGAAATCTCTGATCTAGAGCTTTCTCTCAAGCCTTTTTCAGAACTTGCTGTGTCTGTGGCTGAACTGATTGATCCCTGAGCCCAGAATGCTTCCTGGCTTGGTGGGAAGCAGCATGACAGCGATTACGAGCACACGGTCTCTGGAGCCAGGCAGCTTCTGCTGCCTTTTGCCAGCCGTGTGGGCTTCGGCACAACCCTCACATCGAAATCGGCTCCTTATCTGCAGACGGTGATAGTCACTGTCCCACCTCCCAGAGGTGGTTGGGATTTCCAGAGCCACTGTGTGGAACACTCTGAGGCTGGAGGGCTTCGGACAACAAGTCTCCTCCCCCTTCCCCACCCTCTTCCCTCTTTGGCTTCTTTTTTGTCTCATGGAGGGTTTTTATTGACTTTTTGACTTGTGTTTTTCCTTACATGAAAGGCCTAATGAGATTAAGTCGCATTGAGCAGTCTATAAAGCCAACCCCCCTTTTTCAAGAGAATACAGTTACAGGGGAGCATCTCTACAGAGGCCACCAGCATCAGCCATCAACCTGCTAGAGCTGGAAAACCACCTGACCCGTAGACTCCATGGCTGTTTATGGGGTGCTTAGTCTGTGTGCATTTCAAACAATCCCATGGTGGGTTGGTAGCATGCCCTTTTTGTAAGGAGGAAACTGAAGTTCAGAGAGGGGAAGTGCCCTGCCCAGAGTCACACAGCCAGAAGTAGTCCAGCCAGTTAGTCATAGAGCCCCTTTATCAGAGGTGAGGAAATGGTGGCTCCAAGAGAAACTTGAGTCACTTGGCCAGGAGCTGTGGCAAGGAGGGGCAGGGCTGGGACTCAAGCCAGGTCTCTCATTCTAAGTCCAGAGCTGTTTGGAGCCTGCTGGCCTATCACCTGCTCGGCCCAGCCTTCCCTCCATCACACTGCTCTCCTCACAGTGCATGGGGGCGGCTGCTGCCCTGGGCCCCCCTGTTTGTGGCGTGGAGCTGGACTCCCTCATCTCTCAAGTGAAGGACCTGCTGCCAGACCTTGGTGAGGGCTTCATCCTGGCCTGCCTGGAATACTACAGCCACGACCCGGAGCAGGTGATCAACAACATCCTGGAGGAGCGGCTGGCCCCTGCCCTCAGCCAGCTGGACCACAGCCTAGACAGGTGGGAGAGACGGGCTGGAGGAGGCTCGCGGCATCCAGCCTGCCTCAGGGCACTGGCTGGAGGTACTTTGGGGCCCTTGCCAGGGGCCCTTCTAATTCTCTCGCCTCCCACTCTTCTTTCCCTCATGTCCCACGACTTGGTTTGTTTTCTCTTGCCCACAGCAGTGTTTCCCAACCATTTAAACTGCTGTTCTCTTTGAGAAGAACTTAGGTGCTTCAGGAGGTTCTTCCACGCCCCCTGCAGGGCAAAGAGTGTGCCCAACTGGACATCCTTGCTGTTCTTTGTGGGAAGACCACTTAGAGAGAGACACGGGATGTGACAGAGGGGTTGCACAACTTCTTAGAGCTCCAAAGTTGCCAGCCTATCCCTGCCATTGCCACCTTCCCAGTACTTCTGAGGGGGATGACCAGAGCTTCTCACTTCCTTCACTCCTTCCCTTTCTGAGTTTGGCCCACTACAGAAATGAATGTAGGGTCTTTATTCATAACTATCAAAGAATAAGTGCTGTTTATTGATTGTGTGAATGATGGTAGCTCTGTGCCTTTTGGACACATTCCTCAGCCTCTCTGTGCCCATTTTACAGATGAGAATAATGAGGCCAAAAGATGGATTAACTTATGATCACCTATCTTGTAGGACTGTTGAGTATTAAATGAGAGGAGGAGTTTGCATGAAACAGAAGAAGAGGCTGTGGGAGTGGCTCGCATAGCCAGGGGTCGCTTTGTTTGGGGTATGGCTGCGTGCTCAGGCAGGGGCCCGGCAGAGGCGGTGTTTTTCAAGTGTATCCCACGTGTGGAGAATCTGAGGGCTGTTGATGGTAGGCGAAAGTAAGGCCCAGATAGGTGTCAGCTGATGGGGTCCTGAAATTGATTTTCTTGCCTCCCTCTAGAGAGGTGAAGCCAGACCCCACACCTCTGCTGACATCTCGTCACAACATCTTCCAGAATGATGAGTTTGACGTGTTCAGCAGGGACTCAGTGGACCTGAGCCGGGTGCACAAGGGCAGGAGGTGAGTGCCATGGGCTCAGGAACCCACAACTCTGCACGTGTGTAGTGGAACTGAGAGAAATTAAGGGCCTCTTCCTGCAGAACTGCCTGCATGTGTTAGGACATCCCCAGCAGCGCCCAGCAGGTAAGGCAGCTTCTCATGAGTCTGCTTTAGGCTCCTGACTCTGCACACTGAGTCCTCTCGACAGCAAAAAATCTGGGGCCCAAGTTGCCACTCTCTTGCCTTCTCATATCCTTTGAGGTGTTGGCCATCGAATCGATGAATAGTGAAGCAGGGCAGCGCTTCTAAGAAGCTCTTCCTCAACCCGCTTTTCGCTAGTTTGTGAGAAAAATGAGGAAATTAAAGACCTGTAATGAGCAAACTTTCAGAAGGTGAATATATTACATTTTAGGATCTTTCTACTTATTTTTAGTTTATGTCCTTCCTACATTTTTGGCATTGAGAACCCCATTCATAATTTATTCATTCATTCAACAAATATTTGCTAGGTGCTTATGGCATTCTAAGTCCTGGATTTATTAAGTGCTGGGATGTAGTGGAAGTGAACCAGACATAGCCCATGCCACGTGGAGTTTGCACTAATCAGTTCATCCAACAAGCAATGCCAAATTGCAAGTATAGCTGTTACTGCATGGTGGGGTCTGCCTCTAGCTTGAGCCTCTGGTAGGGGCTCAGTCTGGGCAGGAAGCCTCCTCTGAGGAAATAATATGGGTGGGACCAAACGTAGGATGAGGAAAGGTCAGTTCTGAAAAGAGGGGTGTGGGGAAGGGAAATCTTGCCAAGCAGAGTGAACGCTGGGGCCAGGAAGCCCAAGAACATGGGCAGCAGCATGTTTTGTTTTGGGAAGATGGTCTGGCTTTGGAGACCCATCAGAGGGCCCAGGAGTCAGCACTCGTGGTGTAGAGTGGGACATGGGAGACACTGACAAAGCTGTGACGACACTAGTCCCTCGCCTTTCTCTCAGTGTTGCTTCACGGAACCCAGAAAGCTAGTGCCTGCTGGAGACAGGCCTAGAGGCGGGAGGGCACTGCTGTATTCTCACAGGAGCCCCAGTGACAGAAGTGCAGGTTGTTGCTTCAGCAAGGGACCCACGCTGTTCTCCCCACAGACCATCCAGTGCTGGAAGCTGCTGGAAACTTGGCTGACCAAGGCTGGGGATGCCACTGCAGGGCAGCTCTGAGTCATCTGGCTGGCTGGATGGGAAGCAGAGCAAACTGCTTACTCACACGCGTTGTGACATCCTCAGATCCCAGGCCAAGGTGTAATCTGCGTCGGTGGCCACTGTTCCAGACCAGAATGACCCTTGACAACTCCCAACATGGAAGAAGGGCCGATGAGGAGGGCTGTACTCCCTGCTGTGGGGGTGGGGCTGGTGTTTACTGAACTCCTTAAGCTGGGTAGCCTAGGGACTGGGCACTGCAGAGCGGTAAAGCCTCTGTTCATGTGTTCATTATTTATTCATTCAGCAAATATTTATTAAGTGATTTACTAGCGCCAGATCCAATACCAGACACCAGGGAAACAAGGTGAGAAGGACAGCCAGCTTCACCCTCAAGCAACTCAGTAGCAAGCAGACTTGAATCAAGAGCTCCGTGTTCTGGCCTTGTCTTTGCTCTGTGACCTTGGGAGGGTTGCGCTGCCTCTCTGAATCCCTTGGGCCCTCCCTGGGAAGGAGGGGTCTGTTGCCTCTGTAGACCATTTAGAAGTTCAGAGATGAGAGATACCATTTAAGAGCCAGTTTAAAGTGGTCCTTGAGGGATAAGCTGGAGGAAGTGAGGCGAGGAAAGGTGGCTGGACTTCAAGGACGCCTGCGTGTGTCTGGGCTTGCTGCCCATCTTAGAGGAGGCTGACGAAGCGACCTGTCCCAAACATCTTCTCTAAAGCCATGCTGTTGGCTTTCCTGATTGGCCTGAAGTTCTAGCCCTCAGGTAGTTTTATCTTGGATTTTCTTTTCCTTCCTGACTCTAAGTAGGGTCACAATACCATAGCTCAGGATGCGCAGGGCATCATGCTCACCTGTCTCTACCAATGTTTTCTCACTGGATCTGCCTGGGGTGGGCAGAGTATGCCAGGCTTCTCTCTCTGATCTTGCCAGGGAACCATACACCCACAAGTGACACAGTGCCAAAAAACTCTCTGACTGCCCAAAATTGGGTACAGGGAGGATCAAGAATATAGACTGTGACACCTCTGAGTCATACTTGTCCCTTGGCCTGGTACAGGTCATGGCACGTAGTAGGCCTCAGGAAATGTGTGTTGAATAAATAGCTATGCTCTAGCCAGTGGCAGGACCCCTAAGGCCAGCTTGGGCCCCTTCTGTTTCCTCTCCAGCCCCCAGCCTGGTGAAGAGAGCTAGGTAAGGGCCACAGTCACAGATCCCTTTTGGTCAATGTGAAGAACTACTGTGGATTGAAAATTTTTCCTGGTTCAGATCAAACCACCGCCAACCATAGAAATTCTGTTACCCCTTCACCAGACCCCTGGCTAGATCCCAGGAGCCAGAGTTCATTTCATCTTTGTGCCGAGGGCATGCCGGCCCCTGTTCATCACTTTTCATCTTGGCTGCCATTTGCCTCTCTGTCACCCCCATATGCTGTGAATTCCATGAGAGCAGATCCACATCTCACTCTTTGCTGATTCTCTTCCCAACGCAGCCTTCTACATGGTTGGCCCTTAATAAAAACTGTTGCAAGAAGCCAAATCCTCCTCTCTGGGAGCTGTAGTTCTAACCTGCCCAGGCTCCCAGACAGACAGCCCCGCAGGCCTGGCTCCGGCCCCTCCCTGCAACAAAAGGCAGCTAATAGAAGATTTTTACGGCAGGGCAGCTGTGTGACTTTGTGTCTCCTGCTCCCTCCCCCCCCCAGCCCCGCCACTGCACACATTCCAGAGACCCGATTTCACAGCTAAGCTGGATTTTCTTGCCTGGCATCTCATACTGATTTTCCCCTGCAGGGTAGAAACTACATTCCAGAGGCCCATCTTATGTCTGACAAGCCAGCTTTTTCTACGGATTTGCAAAGTCATGACCCAGAGGCTGATGTCCCCACTGTGTCCCCAAGCACCTCCCCCTCCTCCTCGCCTCCACGGCACCCAAGTTTCCTCATCTGCAATATGAACTTCTAGAGTCTTTTTTTCCCCAATGCAGTGACAGGGAAGAGTGAACTGTGTGTGTAGAACAGTTAGAGTTGCGGGGAGAGGATGTCCTGAACGAAGTCCACAAAGACAGGTTTTATGGACTCCATCCCCACCCCAGACCAAGAGATCAAGACATCAAGGACTACAAATCCCACAGTAGGGAGGATGCTGGGAGCTGAGGGTGGAGTTAACCAGCCAGGCTTGGGCTGTAACCAGACAAGTGGGCCTTGGTGGCCACTGGACTTCAATTAGGGATCCCAGCACAGTGGAACTGGTAGGACGCATTCACCTACCTCTCTCCCTGGGTTATTCCTCGCTTCATTTACCCTTTTTGTAAATAAGCCCTTTATCAACCTTTTGTGTGTGCGCCTGCAGTTGAGGCTTACTGTAAGTCCCTTTTACATGCTCAGATGGGGGCTCACACTCAAGCCAACCCATTTCACCCCAAGGCTGCCTGTTGTATAGGCGTCAGCTGTGGTGAAATGGCAGCACAAGGAGGAGGCCAGCACCTCTCTTCCCCCAATACTCAGAAATCATATTTGACGGTGCTCTTTTTAAGATTTTATTTCATTTATTTTTGTGTAGAAGAACTGGGATACAGCCAGAAGTACGGAGGTGAGAGGATTCATCAGAGAGAGTGGGGAGCAGAACAGGCAGATGAAACACACTGCTGAGCGGCGCAGGGGGTGGGACAGGAGAGGTCTGCTGTGCCATGTGGGTCACCCTCTGGCTGGGGATTGAATTCAGACCTTTGTCCCTTTGAGGACTATGGCAGTGGAGCTGAGATTCAGCCCAGAGGGGTTGGGGTCTCGCTTTCATCAGTGTTTGTTTTCAAAAGATTCAAGTCACCTTAGGTGGGGTAGCCACTGTCACTTGGCTGGGCGCTTGCCAGCCCTCTCGGTGCGGGTGGTGTGCGTTTGCATGCATGGCTGTGTGTGTCCAGGAATCAGAGACCGGTCTGGTTTGCTTTCTGCTGTTTGTACAGATGGGCTCAGACTGTGCGTTTTTCTGTAGCTTGCTTTTTTTCCCGGGAGTGAGTCTTAGAATTCTTTCTCTGTCAGCACAAACAGATCGATGTCATCCTTGAGAACTGCCGCCCAGCATTCTGTAATACAGATGTGGGACGGAGCATTTGGCTGTCTCCTTTGGGGTGGTCATTGCGTTGCAAATTACTTCCCCCTTTTCACTGGTACAGACAGTGCTAGGGAAAAGGACCTCCTGTAGGATCTCGCTGTGCTCATGGCCAGCATTTTTCTAGGGTGGACACCTCAGAGAGGGCTTTCTTGGTCAAAAAGTGGACTACCCTTGGGGATTACAACTGAGCTGGGAAAAGGCACAAAATGATGTAAAAGTAAACTTTTTTTTTTTAAAGTGGGCTACCAGCTCCTCCCGGGGTGTCCTCCACTGTGGCTGGACCCATCCCCGTGGGGCCCCACACGCCCCCAGTCTTCCACACGCCCCTCGTGCCGGGTGTCAGTTAACTCAGTTTGAGTAAGCCTGAGCGGGAAAGAGCTGAGCCCAGGGCTCCCTGGGCCCTTAGGCGCCAGTCTGCAAAGCCTGCTGGTTTTCCGTCCTCTCCTCACGGCTCCATCTCACTGTCAGGAAGGAGGAGAGCACTCGGAAACTGCTGAACGACAAGCGGGAGGTGGCGGCACAGCGGCAGCGCTACGAGCAGTACAGCGTGGTGGTGGAGGAGGTAGGGGCGAGGCCAAGGGCCGGGCTGGGTGGAGGGGCAGGAGCCCCTGGGCCCCGGCCCCTCCTGCCCACACTCCCGCTGTTGGCAGGTGCCAGTGCAGCCAGGTGAGAGCCCGTCTTACCGGGGCGACGACTACGAGGACGAGTATGATGACACCTACGATGGCAACCAGGTGGGCGCCAACGACGCCGACTCGGACGATGAGCTCATCAGTCGCAGGTGAGACTGTGGGGCGACAGGCAGAGAGCAGGATTCCTGGGGCGGCGGCTCTCGGCCCCCGGGCCTCCCCCCGAGCCTCCTGTTTGTACAGATGGGAATCCCCAGGCCCTGATCACAGGAGCCAGGTAGTGGCAGAACCAGGGCCCAAACCCAGGCCTCCTGACTCCTAGTCAGTGCTTCCACCCCCACCCCTTGGCCCGCTGAGGGGGGCAGTATTTATTTGGTCTCATGCGGTGGTTTTACCTTTTTCTTTTTAACTGTTGAAAACTTACCCCAGTAGAATTTTATGGAGGTTCCCCAATACAGATAAAAGCAGCAATGCCCTGACTAGAGCAGACTGGACACCCTCCCCCACCACTCCAGTTCAGCCTCCCCTAAGTCCCTACACAGACCCTAAGACCCTCAGAGAGTCCAGGACTGGAGCAAAACAAACTTTTGAAAAGCACTTTGGGTTGTCCTGGCCCCCTGGGTCAGCCCCGCTCCTGGTAGGGCCCCTTCCCAGGCTGGATTCCCGCTCTCACAGTTCTAACCTTTCATCTCATTCTCTGTGAACCCTCAGGCCCTTCACCATCCCTCAGGTGCTGAGAACCAAAGTGCCCAGAGAAGGGCAGGAGGAGGAAGATGACAATGAGGAAGAGGCTGAGGAAGAGGCCCCCAAGGTACACCTTGACAGATGGTAGCAGTGAGGGTAGAAGATGAAAGGAAGGAGACAGTTCAAAAGGGTGTCTGGGGAGCACTGTGCCCCCTCCCTTCCCTTGGCCTCAAGGCAGCCCCCTCTTCACTGCCCCAGAGAGGAGGGGTCTCTTCGAGTCCATATGTCACTTGGAGAGCTTATACCTTTCAACTCACCTCTGCTGCCCAGTGAGGGCCCAGGGGACAGATCAGAGAAGGGCCTTTGAGCTGCTGGGTTCATTAGGCCCAGGAGCCTGAGGGCCAAGTCAAGAGCAGCTGTCGACTGCTGTGCCCAGGATGGCAATTCTTAAAATTAGAGGAGAGTTTTAACTCAAGGGCTTTGAAGGTCATCTGGGCTGGTGAGTTTGAAAATTGTATTTTTCAGCAGCTAAACTTTTTCTTCAAATGGGTCTTAGCACCTCAGCATATGAAACAGATAGAAGTGGTAGTACTTAGATGGAGGGAGGCAGCAGCCTGAGATCCCTGGAGCTCCTCATCCCCTCCCATCAGAGGGACAGATTCGCATCTCTCTGGGGCCAGGCTGCCCAAGGAAATGAGTGATGGCACAGAAGACAGTTCTCGAGCGCCCACGTTCCCACAGCAGGTTACTGGTGTTGCTGGAGTGAGGAGCAGTCAGCTTCCAGGAGTGGCTCAGCTCTCAGGACCCTATGTGGCCTCTCATTGGGCCATCCTTGCCTTTCCCCATTTGTTGTCAACATTTCCCAACCGTAATGCACCAACCCTCCCATGCCTGAAGCTTTTCCAGAAGTCCTGGTTCTCTTCAGCTGCCTGCCACGTAAGCAGGAGTTGGGAGGCACAGAGAGGACTTTGAACGGGAACCTTGGACCACAGCAAACCCAGCTCCATTCTGGGGTGTCACCCTGCCGTATTTTGGCTGAACCTTCTCCCCACTTCTGGCATGAAGGTGTCAACAAGATTCACTGGAAGATAACCTTACCACAACTCAGGGAAGTGAGACAGCTCCTAAGTCGACATTTTTTTTCTCTCCTCCCTCCACAGCCTGACCATTTTGTGCAGGACCCTGCAGTGCTGCGGGAGAAAGCAGAAGCCAGGCGCATGGCCTTCCTCGCCAGGAAGGGGTGAGCATTTTAAGCAGCTCTTTCTGATGGGAGGGGACATATCTGGGGACAGCCCAGCCAACCACCCAGTAAGCTCTTACAGAAAGCCAGAGTGCTTTTTGTGTATTAATTTAGTTCTCACAATGAACGGCCCTATGAAGTAGCTGTTACTGAGATACCTGAGGCCATCCCAAGTCATGCCCCTCTCCTTGTGGTAGTCAGCGGTCTGGCCATAGCTCGTCCTCTCCAAAGCTTGGCCAGGTATCCCCTCAGGCAAGGCTCAGAGAAAACTCCAGGCACACGGCTGTTGGATCCCCAGGGCTATACCTCTGCGAGGTCCCATTTCTCCTCCTACCAGAAGCTGAGACATAGGTGTCCTGGCCCAAACTGTGTGTCCTCTCCCAGGGACCTCAAGGAAGAAATGGGCTCTTCCCTTCAAAGCCTCTTCTGGCTGATGGGCTCTCCCGGCCATTGTTCCTCCCTTAGGTACCGGCATGACAGCTCTGCAGCAGTGGCTGGCAGCCCTCGGGGCCATGGGCAGAACCGGGAGACAACCCAGGAACGCAGGAAGAAGGAAGCCAATAAGGCAACGCGAGCCAACCACAACCGGAGAACCATGGCCGACCGAAAGAGAAGCAAAGGCATGATCCCATCCTGAGGCCACTATGCCTGAGCCAGCTGGGAGGCAGCAGCACCAGCTCCTCAGGCCGCATTACCATCGCCTGGGGTCTCCTGACCAGTTGGCCCCCTGCCCAGGCCCTAGTTTCTCCTCCATCCCTCAACAGCCTCAGCTTTGCAGCCCCTGAGAAGGCCGCCTCCTCATCCACCAGCCAGCCGTGAGCGCCTTCTTACAGAACACACAGTGCCTTATCCCACAGCAGAGGAACCTGTGGCGCCAGCAAGCAGGCAAAAGGGACAGGAATAGAGCCCCAAGGCCAGCCCCCCCGCCCGACCTCGTGCAGCAAGAACCCACTCCTTTTACCCTGGACAGCAGGAAACTTGTATATTCAAAAACAAAACGCAAAGGCCTGCGAATAAAGTTTTTGACTCTTGAGCAATGATCCATGATGTGCAGTGACCCGTCCCCCATGTCCCATTCTTCAGTGACAGCTGCCGCCTGGGGAGGAAGAGGTCAAATGATCACTGTGCTCTTTTCATCGACCTTCTGTGATTGCCTCTCATGCTAACCCTCCTGATGTTCCTACTGCAAGTAGGAACCCGTGTGACCTTGAGAATATCACCCACTTCTCTGAGCCTCTGGTCCCGGCCTGTGGAGAGAAGCGCTGAGGGGTGTGGCTGTGGTTATTTCTGTTACTTCATTCAGTCCCCCGTGACCTCCATGCTAGGAGGAAGGTAATGTGTTCAGCCCCATAGAACAAATGAGGAAGGTGAGGCACTGAGAGCTGAGATGTCTGCTCAGGCCACAGCCAGGAAGTGGCAGCGCAGGGACTGGGCACTCAGTCTGACCTCTGAATCTAGAAGGTCCTGGATACCCGTAAATGACGTCCTGTCCATCTGAGAGTTGGCTGAGGACACCTGCCCAGAGCAGAGCCAGTGTCAGAACTTGGTGCCTCCTGCTTGTGCGCACTCTGCTAAGCCCTTCAAATAGAAGGGTTGGAGATGAGAAGAAATGAGATGTCACTGGCAAATCCTGTTGAAGTGAGTGGGACTTAGGTCACTTTCCTCCAGTTCCCCTTCCAGGCGTGGCCAGCTGACTCCTGGCATGGCAGCAGGAGTCTCCCCCTCCCCCCGCACAGTGGCTGATTAATAGTGAATCCACAGTAGGGCCTTGGCAGGGCTGGCCTGGCGTCCGTCAGAGGAAGCCAGGTCCCTGCCCTGCTAGACCTTGACAAATCACCCTAGATGCTAGTGCACTTTATTTGCACGTGGCTAGGATGAGCATCTGAAGCAGTGAGGCAGACAGGCACTTGATGAATTGGTTTTCTTAGGTCATCCCACACAAGTGAAAATCAATAGCAATTCCTCTGTGTCCTGCCAGTTCTTTTGGTGCCTTTGAGATGCAGAGCAGATGTGGGGGTGGTGTCCTCTCACACTGCTGAATTAGCTGAGATCAGGCCCGGGTTAGCCATCCTGACAGGCAGCAGGAAGACTCTGTTTCCTCCCAGGGACGTTTGCCTGGAACTAAGCTCAGTGGCAGGGCCCTGGAACAAGGCGGATGAGTTGGGGATGCCTGGGCTTTACCTGCCTTACCTGCTACTGTTTTACCGCCTCTCTCAACTACACTTTGTCTTCTGTACCTCCTGCCCTCCAGAGTGGTGTTCAGGCTCCACAATAGCGTCCTGAATTAAAGGGTTTGGGAAGACAGAGGTAGTTTCCAAATAGTCTCTCTTGAGGAACTGTGGACTTTTTCAACCCTTTCAAGTTGCTTTGCAAACAGCTCAGGGGTCATCCAGAATGGTGCTGGAAGGCACACCCCATCCTTTCTTGGGGACTTTACATCTGTAAGTGTCAGACTAGGTGAATGGTTTCTATTTGTGCCAATCATATCCTCTGTGGAAGCCCTGAGATTTAAGATGGACTTGCAGAAGTGTTAATAAGTGAATTGAACCCTGCCACGTGGTCCCGGCACCCCAACTACTGCTCCTAAGCAAGAATTTTCTAAGTGCCTTCTCTGTACCCTGGCAGAGAACATGAACTACAGGCATTTCCAGGAAGTTTTTAAGACCCGTGTCTCTGGGAGGACTTAAGACTTGACTGTCTTTGTTTCTAGTCCATGAGTGGCAATGATGTTGGATGGTGTTTGTTTTGAACAGTGCTTCTGTGGCTCTGTGAGGTGGGTGGGGAAGAGCTTGTCACTGTTTATCAAAGGGGACTCAGGAGCCCAGGGAGGACAAGTAACTTGCCAGAGCCCGGGGCAAGTTAGCAGCAGGGTCTAGAGGCAGATCTTTTCTGAGTGCCCCCCTTAGACAGCAGGTGCAGTCTAGAAGAATAAATGAATTGAGAAAAACTGCCTGCCTCTTCCACACCAGGTTAAATAACAGAGAGAGGGAAACAAAAGTGACCTCACCAAAATGCAGGGGGCGGGGCGCTCTGTAAACCTTCAAAATGATGTCAGTGAAGACTTGTAGCACCTTGAAAAACTAAATATTCAAGAATAATTTTTTAAAGAATTAATTTGAAAGCAGAATACATATGGTAATATGCCACAGTTGGTGAAAATGTTTTTTAAAGATGCGTGCTGACCAAATCGGGAGGGGAATGTACATAAATGAAAATGATGGTGAGAACATGAATGATGGCGGTGGTGAGACCATGATGATTTATTTGTAATAATAAAAGCATTTCTTGAGCTCTTGCCATGGCCAGTTTCTGCTGGGCTCTTTTCTTGTATCAGTTTATTGAATCCTCACAAAGTGGGTACAGGTGAGAAAAGTAAGGTTAGAGAGAGTGGGTGACCTGCTCAAGGTTAGTAAATGACCCAGGAGGAATTCAGTCCCAACATTTTCTCCTAAAGCTCATACTCAATCCAGAAGCCACCTGACATTCCTCCCTGTCCCACACATCTGTGTCTTTGTTGATGTTCTTACAAAGAAAGAAGAAAATCCAAGTGAAGTAACTGCAGAGCAAGAAGATAAGAAATCCCACTTTATCAGGCCAGGGCGGTTAGAGTCCCATGAAACATATGTTGGACGAGAGGACGTTACTCCACAGATCTCAGATGTTTTGTACCCTTTTTTTCACTTCTATTTTCAAATTTATTTACTGTTTCTTCTGTATGTCCAGTCTGCCATTAAGCTCATTGAATAATTCTTCATCCTTGGTGTAATCAATCTCTAGGGTAAAGAAAAAATGGATTGGCCCTCCATGGTGGTGCAGCAGGTTAAAGCACAGCACTGAGAATCTAAAAGCCGCTTCCACATGAGTTCGAGCCCCGGCTGCCCCGGAGGTGACCACATGGCGTGGTGGACCTCTCTTGACCCGCCCGCTGCTCCCCTCAGCAGTGTACTTCCTTGATCTGCCTGTTCTGCTCCCCACTCTGTCTCTGGTGAAGCCTCTCACCGCTCCTGAGCCTCTGTCCTGTACCCCAGTTCTGTGTGCACAAATAAATAAATCTTAAAAAAAAAAAAATGGATTAAGGGTGGAACAATCTCAACTGAAAGGGGGCCGGCAGAATCTGGAGAGCTCTGGTGCTTGGGAGGGGCCCAGAGACTGGTAAAGTCAGAGTCCAGGGTGAATGAAAGAGGGGCAGAAGAGAGGGAGGGAAGGAGGAAGGAAGTCCCGAGTTGAAGCTACAGAACAGCCCAGGCCATGGTCTAACCATTTGTACAGAGCAGCAGCTCTGTTTGCTGCCTGTCCTCAGGGCTTGGGGCACGGATGATCTGGCTGCATGGGAGAAGCAAAGAAAAAGGAAAATGACTTTCACTCAGTACATGTTCACCAAGATCTACTAGGTGCAGGCACTGTACCAGGCATTTGTGAGGAAGTCCTGGCTCTCACCCTCTTGGAGTTCACAGATCAAGAGGAATCTGAATGTTAAGCATTTTGGAAAAGCTGGAGCTTATGCTAAGTTCTAATAAATGAGTGAAAAAATGAACAAGTTCCACAGAAAAGGCAAGAGTAGAAGACTTTCTAAAAGGGTGCTGGGTCACAGTGCCAGGCAGCAGTCAAGAGGTCAACCAGGCTAGAGCAATGGAACTTGGGAGATCTGTCCCAGCTTTCCCAGGAAGTGGTAGGGAAGGAGCCAGGGGAAGAATGGAAGATGAAAAAGAGAAGACAGGAAAGTGGGCCCATCTTGAAATGAACTTGGGATCAAAGAGAAGGAAGAGGGATTCAAAGGTAGGAAGGGAGTGTGGGCACATTGATCGTGTCCATGGGACACCTAGAAGAAGCCATGGAAGCCTCGGAGCTCCAGGGCACCCACCTGGGAAAGGGTAGTCTCCAGTGAGGGAGGGGTGAGGCCAGAGACAGTGCTGAGCTTCCCAGGTAAGCACTGGGGCACCCTGATCAAAGATCTGGATCTCTAGGTGCTGGGCAGCAGAGAGGGACCTAAACTGCGGTGAGAGGCTGTTGTAATTCTGTAGCCTAAACAAAGACTTTTAAAAAATTCAACCTAGAGTTTACTGTGTCCAGCCTGGGGTGGGGGGTGTGGGGAGGGTAACACAGGTGTCTTCAAATGAGTTTACAATTCCACCTTCCTATCTTACTGGAAATTCTCTTTCAATAATAAATAATCAAGAGAATTTTACACAGCCTGGCAGAACCCAGAGAGCCTTATAAGGCATTTAGTACTATGTTTCTCAGCTTATTTACCTGCCCCACCAACCTGCCTTATTTTCAGACCCTGTGATTTCAGGTACCCCCGTCTGCCCCTAAGGGTGGAAGTTTTCCTTGCTTAAGAATTCACTGGGCTTCCATGGTTCTCCCAGCCATGGAGGTTGTGTCTAGTTTTACTTGCTGTGGTGCAAATTACTAAAACAACAGGTACTTAATTCTAGTTTTCCAAGACAGAAATTAGGACACTGAGAATGCTTTTCTGGCTGTATGAGTTCATCCTCAACACTCTGACATGTCCCTCAAGAGCTCTGCCACCCCAAGGAGTAATTATGGTTTTCTCCTCCTCTAAGTGGGCTTCACTGAAGAGCCTGGTAGGAAAGGGGGCTTCAGGGGGAAGAGCACCAAGCATTCCCTTCCACTTAGGAATTTTATTTGCACAGTGTACACTCAGGCTACCCTAGTTCCCTTTCTACGGTCTGATCGACTCATTTCCTGCTCTCTGTGCCCATCGCTTTTATTGTTAATTTGTCCTAAAGGTGGCCTGGGTGGTGAAAAGAGCACCGGAATAAGGCCCCAGGCAACTAGGTGGGCCCCTCAACTGTGATCTTGGATCAGTCACTTTAAGTCTCTTGGTCTTGGCTTCTTCTTGTGAGAAGTAGAGATGATCGTTCTTCCAAACCTCTTTCCTCGTGGGGGTAGACAGCCATGAGGGCAGACAATATTCTGAAAACGCCTGTGGGGAAGCCCCCCATCTACTCTGCCTTGAGCCAGTTTCCACCTCTCTCTCAATCACCCTATCAGAAACCTCTTTTATAAATCAGCTGTTATTTCCAGAAGACATATTTCCAAGCATGGAATTCTGGGGTCTCAGACCCATTAATTGTTTTAGAGATGGCTTATCTGGAATTGTGTCAATAGTTCTCACCAGGACAGGATCAAGGAAGTGGCTTGAAAACCGAGGCTGTAGCCTCCGTGGGTAAGTTCATGAAACAGCTTCCCTCATGTCTTTTGAGGAGGTTGGGAACTATTGAATTGAGATCCCTTTGGACAGGAGTTTGTTTAGAAGAAGGTGAGGCCACTGCCCCCATTTCTCACAGGCTCATGACAGATCCAGTTAGCAGAGCCAGGTCCCCAAGTCCAGCCAGCCGCTGTCACAGGAGTAGGGCAACAGATGAGGACCAGCTGGATGACTTGCCAAAGGGGATGGGATAGCTGGTCACATCTGGAAAACCAGATTTGCGCCCCCCACAACCCCCAAAACACACACTCTGGAGGGGTTTGTACTAAATGGCATGCCTCCTCCCCAATGTTTTAACTCAAAGTAACATGCAATGATAGTTGGGCCAGAATTTTCCCTTGGGGATCAGGATCCTCTGAATGGCTGGTGGTCTTTTGCCATTCAGAGAAGGGGTGAGGCTCAGGGGTCAGTACCCAGCTGGCCTTGGTCATTTCGAGACTGTGTGACTCCAAAGAAGAAGCCTCGCTTTCTGAGCCACAGTTGTCTGTAAACTGGCAGATAGTGACTGGCTTGTGGTGTGTAGAGTCCTAGCCTCCTGCGGCATCAGGCCAGTGAAACCTCAGGACCCTGCTCACCAGCACATAGGAGAAGGTAAGTGGGTGTTTCCCACCATTTCTCAAGCAGCTTTCAAGTACCTTTTCCCTCCTCGGCACAGCTGTCCCGACTCCTCCAGGCAAGTGCTCTCAGAAACCTCTGGGCTCAGGATAGTCTGAACACACAGAAACTGGGTAGAGAGGAGGACGAGGATAATCCAGCCTGGTGTGTGATGGGTGCACTTGTAGAGTTACTCAGAGGAGGTGTCCTGCTCAGCCTAACAGGACTGGGAATACCTCATTGACTCCTTGAAACAAAGCCAGGCAATAAGTATATTTATAAGCCCCATTTAGGTGTTCCATGATGACTGAGAAATGGTCAGGTGAGGATTTGCCAACCTCCAAAATCCATTCTCTCAGCCCATCAACTTCCTGCCTACTACTTGACATTTGAACTAGAAGCTACAATATTCTACATGTGATTGGTTCAACATGGAAAAGAGGGCTTACTACCTCCTCTGTTCTAAACACTATACTTCTGTTAATATAACCTATAATTGTATTATTTTATAATTGTGTCATTCCATTTGACAGAGGCAAGGAAAGGAGACGAGAGTAGGAAGATTTTCCAAATCTGCTCTTTGCCATAGTCTATCTCCCCGCCTGCCAGTGGAAGGAAGAGATGCCTCATGGAGGGCACAGTTTGCAGGAGTTGTTTCACTAGGAAAGCTTAGTGAGCTGTAGAGATAAAATAGCAAATGGAATTTCAGTGCCGTGGCAAGACATAGCTTCTCTGTTGGAGGCCTGGAGTGGGGAGACAGAAGTCTGCTCATACATCAGGAAGGAAGGAAGATGGAAAGAGTGGAGGGGACTCCCGTATGGTGAAAGGTGTGGGGAAGAGATAAGGGCTGCCTGTGGAAGACAGGCTGCTGGGTTTAAAACAGTGTAGAGATGCTGAAAATGAGATTGTCAGAGGACACAGAGGGGAATGCAAGGAAGTGATCTGGCCTCAGAGGGTTGGAAACGATGTTGGAACCACTGTTTTAAAACGGTTGCAGCAAACCAGGTTGGGAGGAGCGCTTGGGTGATTCAGCTGTACAGTCATCTCCAAAGCTCTCAGCTGGCATGTTGTGGGTGGAATACGCAAACGGGGCACTGATCCTTGAAGGCTGTGCAGGGAGACCCCTTAATTTACTGGCTGTGGCAACATAACAAAACCGCCCCAATAGACCAGCATTAACTGAGCACAGCACAAGTATTGTCTCACATATCTTCCTAGCCTCTCTGGGATATATTATTATCATTGTCCCATTTTCCACATGAGAAAACTGAGGGGTAGCAGCCCACCCAAGGTCACCTAGAGGGCTCAAGAATAGCAGAGCCACAATTCAGACGAGGCATGTGTTGTTTCTATAAACATGGCTGGGCACAGAGGTAAGAGCAAAGGGGCCGACAGCTAGGAATTTGAAGTTTGCAGAATGAGATTTGAGTTAGCCTGGATCGTGAAATGTCAGGATGAAGATTATGAGT